GCTCAAAAACTATTAAACATAGAAGCTTCAGATTTTATTTGGTTGTTTAGCTCTGATGAGGGGCTATCCATCAGGTCAACCAATGGGCACCCACTCCAGAAAAAAGAACCCCCCACCCAAACCACTACAATTTTGGGATGCACCTATTAGCATGACATTTATTAGGAATAAAGACTTCTGAGTTCTGGTGCATTTGTGCATGTGGGGGTCATTATGTTACCGCTATGCAGTTTCTAGTTTATTTTTTTAAATTATTTTTGGTCAACGGTAGCACTAAAACGGCTGCACCGATCAACATGAAATTTGGCAGGACTGTAGATGAGTCTGACCTACACTGCGCCAGCTAATGGTTTTACGAACTGTAGATGAGTCTGACCTACACTGCGCCAGCTAATGGTTTTACGAACTGTAGATGAGTCTGACCTACACTGCGCCAGCNCTAATGGTTTTACGAACTGTAGATGAGTCTGACCTACACTGCGCCAGCTAATGGTTTTACGAACTGTAGATGAGTCTGACCTACACTGCGCCAGCCAACGGTTTTACGATAGACCTCATATTTGAGGAGTGGGCCCCATCCAAAGACAGGGTGTCTGGACATGCAAAAATGCTTATAACTCACAAACTGTTCAACATAGGAGCTTCAGATTTATTTTGTTGTTTAGCTCTGATGAAGCTCTATCCATCAGGCCCACCAATCAATGCCCCCACCCCCCGGACCCTCAGTTTTTCTGAAAAAGGGGTATCTGGACATACAAAAATGATTATAGCTCAAAAACTATTAAACACATGACCCTCTATGAACTTCAAGACACTAACAACCTGTTGTTTAGCTGATGGTCCTGTTTTGCATGTGACCAACTTGTTTGTCCACCATGTGGAGGCAGTGCTTATAAGGCTGAGTTCACCTGAAATTCATCAGACTTGAAGAAGTCTCTTGGAGGAGAGACAAAACGTTTCATTAAAGAACCCATTCAGAGTACCTACTTGTTTTGTCTTTTTGATTTGTTTGAAGTTGATTTTTTTAATAAGAGGGAGAAATAAAATTGCGTCTTCTTTCTGCACCCTTTTAATTCAATATTGATTTACTTTGTTTTCTGTTTTTGTTTGTTTTCCTAATGGTTCATTGTTGATTTTAGAGTAAAATTAATAAACTAAACAATTTTTTTATCTTACAACTAGACTTGAAAGAAATCTTTGTCAATTAGTTTTCTTTTTTTTCAGCTCTGATTTCTGCTGGCTGCTGTACTGGTTCCTGTCGAAGTGTAAAGCTTTGGGACAGGTGAGCAACTAACGTAGGCACACGTAATGGATATGATGAAAAAGGTAAAAAAAATGGTTAACTGTCAGTAAATAGTTCATCTGTTTCATTTAAAACACTGTGTGTAAAGACACTGAATTATACCTGAAACAACTGAACAAATAAATAAGGTAACTTTGTATTCATATTGGCAGTAAGGACACTTGGTTACCAAATAAATGTTGCTTCAATATATACCTTTGCAAAAACATAATTAGACTACCTAATTTTCCCTGGTTTCCTCCCCTCTTATCGATTACACATTTAGCTGCATGTCATCATTGAAATGCTGCCTAGTTGGTGCCCAGAAACCAACATGGAATGCATAAATAATTAGAGGACATTCTGCGAAAAAAAAAAACAAGCTAAACTTCTCCTCAGCATTTTTATCAAGGTGGCATTTATGAAAATGATGTGTTTCTATGTGAATGTACACATGTGAGGTCAATTTGTGCTCTAATATACTGTACCAGCAGAGTAATGGCACTGGGTTCACATTTAATGATAAAGTAGGTGTTGAAAGGTAAATAATTCGGCAAGGGAAAACACATCCTAGCTTTCTGCTGAGTAAACACAAACACACACACACATGCTGTACACACCAAATGTAAACGCAATTTATTTTCTCCTTGTCTTTCAGCTTTGACACCTCCTAACCTGAACACGCCTCTTGATCTGCTGTGACAGACCGACAGACAGAAATGACGGATGAAATCCCGAGGATCAAAATGAACCAGTGAAAGACAAGAGAGCAGACAAACGAACCAAGCAATGAGGAGGCAAACCACACGAAACACCCATTCTGCCCTGTTTGCTGCTGCTGCTAACTTCTGCTATGCATTTCCACTAGAAAAGATTGAATGTCAGTTTGGAAGGGTGACGGCTCATCCTTCCATTACCAAAATGAAGAGGGGAACCTAAACTCTTATGTTGCCAGTAATATCTTCCTACCTCTTTAAAAAGACAGAGCCCCTGTGGATCGATACGAGGAGCACCTTGACATACTAGCTAGGTACAGTCAAATCAGAGAATATTTTGAAAAGGAACAATAGCCCAACCTCTAATTACGGTTTCAGACAAAACTTACCCGGGAAGCACAAAGTTATATTATTTACATATTATCATTTCTCCAAATTGAGGTCGTTCAAAGAGTTGTGCACAACTGGTAAGATATTAATTGTTCGTGACCATTCCACAGAGCTTCACCTCCACAGAGCTGACTTATATTAAAGCGGTCCACTTGAGGCTGATTTATTCAGGTCGCATGTTGATGCCAGATCTGAACATCGAGCATTGTTCCATGTATTTAGTAAAAAGACTCCTTAACCATCATCACTGCTTGCCTGTTTTTATATTCAGTCATCTTCCATTAGTGGTGTTGAGGCCAAGTTGCAGATGTAACTGACATATCGTGATTATCAGTGGTATTGTCATTGTGGAGACCGCTGGAAACAAAATGTCTGTCATTGTTATGGTAACATGTTTACCTGTGATGACCAACTCTCTTTGTTTTGTAATTTTATATCCTGTTTGCCTTACAGACAACTAAAGAGATCTTCCACAGGAGTGAAGTAAAGACCTCACAGGCATCCCCAGTCATTAGTCATTTGAGTTTACCAGGTCCCACCACAGGATACAACTCAGCATCAAGTGATTATTTGACAGCTCTGCCCCTCCTTTTACATGAGTGTCCAAGACACTGGTCCTCAGGTTCAACAATACAATTATAAAATCAGTCACTGCTCTGACCCCATGTGACATGGTACCAGTTAGACCTAAAGGTCAAATGAATGGGGAAACGTGCATTTGGCATTTGTAGGTTGTTTATTCCACCTCGAGGTGACCACTACACATTCATATAATGTTTCTTTTAAATTTAAAGTATTCACAACTGTAATAAAAAACCCCATTAAAAACTATGACCTGAGGTGGCACGGTAGTCTGTTTCGTTTGTCTCTATGTGGCCCTGTGATGGACTTGCGACCTGTCCAGGGTGTACCCCGCCCCTTGCACTGTGACTGCTGGATATGGGCACCAGTGACCCTGAAAGAAAGAAGCGGTTATAGATAATGGATGGATGGACAACTGTAATGAAGAAAAAACCATTAAAATCTACAGCATCGTTGAGCCATCTACAATGAAAAAGTCTGAAATGGGTCACATTTACTTGCAGTGTGGATGTATTATCGGCAGCTCCTCTTCCAAGTTTAATGTGCCATTAAGCTTGGACTCTGTCGAAAAAGGGCTTTATGGACAGCTCCATGCTTAAACATGGCGCTTGTTATTGTCAGCCAATGTCTAGGTCAGAAGTCCAATAATAAAGATATACTCAATGCTTGATTCAGAGCATGGACGTCGATCCTGTTGGTTACTACACTCAAGGTGACACATCATTGCCCACATGATCATTGAAGTCCTACAGGAGAACAACAGACTCCCCACATCAGTCACATGGGAATGTCGTTTCTTTACACTGTTTTACAGGCTCGGCCCAGCTGAGCCCCAACAACCAACAGACACTGGCAGGTCTTCTGGCTCCACACGGGTGCCCCTGCTTCTCTGATCTGGTGGAAGTTATATGGTCCTCCTTCCTCATTAAGGTCTTCAGATTAGTCTGAGTCCTGAAATGTAATACCTTAATTAAGATTGTTACATAAATTATTTTATTTATAAAGATTCTATGTTTATTTCCTGGCTTGCTCACCATTAACGTTGTTACTGCTTCTTAATTAAACAACTCACAACAACAGCTGGTAAAAAATTTCACTTTAAAATCATAATTATAATATGAGATTTTAGACAGTCTCACAATCTGGATTTTGCTTTAAAGGGGACCTATTATGGAAAATTCACTTTTTAAAGTTTTTTTTACTCAACTTTGGATATGTACTTCTTAAAAAAACAGTCCTAGGACCAAAAAAATGCACCCAGGGGCATATTTACTGTAAGTAAATGTATTTTTAATGTATAGTAACGACAAGTTTTATACTTGCGTCATTTTGTGATGTCACAAGCCGTACGACAACCCACCGGAACCTGTGTTCAGCCCCTCACCTAGCAACCCCCGGGTGAGACTCCACCTCCTCAGTATAAACAGCCATCACCATGTTGCTGTGTAATACGCAGCTCAGTTCACAACAAGTCTCCAATAGGGCAATGGGTAGCGTGTTGGACCAGAGAGTGGGAGACCAGGGTTTGAGACAGGCGTGGACACAATTTAATTATTTATTTATTTTTGTTCGTTATGAACACGTTTTCTCATGTACCTCTATCATTTAGCTTATTAAAGCCTTGTTAAAGCCTATTTATTCGAGTTTCTGAGATATTTTGACCGCTGCTGCTCCCTGCTCTGGTAACAGCATGCAGAGTGAGCGCAGAGCAGAGGAGGGAGGAGAAAAAAAAAGAAGCTGTGACCACGACTCTGCCTCTGGGCCTCATATGGTTGTACAACGGAGCTTCTGCTATTATTAGCCATGCTAACGTAAACGCTGGCTTTGGAGGGCGGAGTTAATGTCAACAGATTTTTGGAGGGCGTTACCAACAGAGCTCATTAACATAAACAGCTCTTCTGAACGGAAGTCAGAGCAGGCAGAACTAGAAAATGGGAAATTTTATTATCGGAGAATTATTTTGTGCATTAAATTGAATGAACATGGTCTGGATAGCCCACAGACATACCATAAAAATTTCTAGGACCCATAATTGGCCTCCTTTAAGACTAATATCATAATTGTTATATTTCTTTAGTTATCACCCAGACAAACATAAGACACAGAAATACAGAACATAGACAATGTGTTCATAGATAAACATGTTATCTGGTATGACATTATGGTTCCCGTAGTTTGTAGATTTTTTCTGTGTACCAAAACACTGAAAATCATGATGCCTCAGTTACATCTGCAATTTTTGGCCTCAAAATGGTGACTTTATTATAGGATGCTCCCACATAAATTGGTTCATTTTCCTTATGCTATGTCCACTAAAGGTACAATGTGATTAATGTGATTATTATTAATGGTTGTAACATTGGTCAACACACTGAAAGTCCAAGTGGAACAAACATCTTACTGTAAATGTTTGTAACAAATATTTGGAGTTTGTGTGAATTCCCAACCACATTTTCACTTCCAATCAACAAATCTAAAAGTTGTAACCAGCACAGCTAGCACTTACCTTCAGCTTCAGGTAACGCTTTCATCAGAAATAAAAACTCATTTGGAGGTATTTGTAGAGTTTAAATCAAATGTAGCTTCTGTTTCGTCATGAGACATTAAACAGGGTTCACACAGTGCAAGGGATGTAATTAACATGTAAAGGTAATTTGTTCACATTTTGTATCAGCCACTGTTGCTATATCAGCAGTGTTTACAGTATTATAAACCTTGTGTTAGCTTTCATGTATGGTGCTGTGTGTGCGTGCTTCTTTCCCACGTTCCAGGGTATAAAGTCATTTACGTCATACCTTTCTCATAGCATGGTAAGGAGATAAGAGTTACAAAAAAACAAAGAGCCTCAGCTGAAACAGTATCATTACCTTTTGTTCTTTCTACAAGGACATGTTTATTAGCACAACTAGGTACAGACTGAAAGAACGAGGGTACTTCAACTGTGATGGCAAAGCTGAATAGAAACAGGATAATTCAGTGGCAAATTATAAAAAAAGAGTTATTTATCAAAATTATATCTACAGTTATTTCATCTGAAGGTTTGTTAACCTAATTGTTTGTTAAAAACTGGCATATGTGGTCTGTAATTATGAACAATTTACAGGCGACTCACCACATTTAATTTTATGAACTTTTAACTGCACTGTAGCTTTTAGACATCAGTATACGTATATACATAAATATATATTTATATATAACTATATACATATGTATATATTCGACCACAGTATGTGCAGTACTCCAGTTGCCATTTACTCTCAGAGGATTGCACTGTAAGCTTCACCCTTTCAACAATGTCCTGTTTTGAACTATAAAAATACACACACCTATTTTAATATAAATTTGTCTTATTATATCTATATAAAATGGTTAAATACAAACTATTACAATTAATTACATTTTCAGTCCCATGCAATATTAAGTGTAGCCTACTCATTGCAAAGTCTGAAATGAAACAATGTTACACTGAACTAAAGCAAATGTCGCAGGAGTTTTTTCAGATACATTGATTGATCTTTTTTTGTAATTTAGAACAGCTGTAATATTTCTTCCCACAAGCAAAGACATCAGGTTTGTTCTTTCTACAGAGAAGTAAGGCAGAATGTAGAACCACATTTATAAAGTTAAAGAGTTTGACGTTCTGACTTCTTCAGTTTTGTAACAGGAAGTCTGATTTTAGCAGTGTGTACTTGGTGAAACATTTGTCATGTGCACAATCAGATGAACATTTATTTTGTCTCAGAAACTGAACATTTGCAGAAATTTCCTACCGAACGAAAACTGGATGTGGAAAAAAATGTGACATTTTACTTGGAGCCTACACCGTGATTGAAAACTATATGTACCCACGCAGACATCCAAATATAAACATTTATCCTGAGTCAATATAACTTTTTCTTTTTGTGAGTTTTTTTGTTTTAGAATTGTTGAAACTACCAATAACTATAATAAATTATAAATCCTTTATGTTTCTAAAAGCCAAGATTAGTCTATCTGCTT